AGTTCAATGTCTACGAAACTCAATGAATAACGAGTTGAAATCGAAAAGAACGCATTGTACCCATCTGAAACCAAATGGAAATAAAAAAACAACAGGATCCTGTTATAAAATCTTGTTCAAAAAAGGAGGAAATAAATATAGTTGAATTTAGGACTGTTCTTGTTAATGAAACAAAGTTTTCGTTAAAAGCAATGAAGTTGTATATTTATTAGTTGTAGTTTTATTTTCTTCAATCCTTTTTATTTAAGAAAATATAAAAAATTCGAAGAATTATAAACTGATGTTTTTTTTTTCACTAGAAGTTAAACATTTTTACCAATAAATTTAAATTATTTTGGAGAATATTTAATTAATGCGATTTCCGATGTAATTTAACTCAACATTAAACTCAATGACGTCATGTAATTTTTCCTCTTCCAAATGATATTAACTTGTTCATCTTCATCGTCTCTTTTTCTTCTTCCTATTTTTTTTTTATCTTCCTTTTTTACTTCCGCATCTGGAATATAGTTAGAGCGTTTACTACTTGAACATGGAAATGGTTCCGTTATATTCACTCTCGGAAGATCATAAATAAGAATGGTTGAATGCAAACCAACTGCGGTTTAAAACAAATGGCTATTATTCAAAAACGACAACACGTAAATTACATGATGAATATTCCTTACTTAAACGATAAATTCGACTTAAAACAATTATGTGTGTGTGTATATATATATGATATTACAATAAGGAATAAGATATAATTAGGAGGAAAATCAACAAGATACATGACGTATCGCTTTGCGGTCTATTCAAAGAAACCCATATACGTACTTACTATAAAATAATCTTATCCCAACAATTATTCTTTTTCATTCCTAACAAATTTCAGAGTTCTTGTCGAATTAAGTTACATCAACGGAATGATAACGGTTGATTTTTTCTAACCAATCTCGACAGCGTGACATAAGGAACTATAATAAATGGGCTATTAAAATAAAAACGATAAAATAAACGACTCATACGAAGATGTCAGAACGTTGAAAATTTTCCCCGGTTAAACATCTGGAAACGTTAAAATCCACATGTATGTCTTGGAAAAAAAAAATAAAGAACATAGAAAAAGTAAGATAGAAACTTTAACGATGTAAGTATTTTTAAACTGGAGGAAAAGGAGTCAATTAATATTCGATGATAGTAGTAGTCCGAGTCGTGGAGCTATGCAACGCGAAGAGAAATCTCAGAATTCCTTCGTGATGCATCTAACTCGTGAACACGTAGACTTGAAGATCGTATAATTTTTCTCGCGGATAAGGAAGTCATCTAACTGCCAAATGTCAAGAGAAAGTTTCCTCAATAAAAATCGATCTATAATCATTATAATGATAATTTATCAAAGAAAAATATCAAATGAATGATTAATAATAAAATAAAAATAACGAAAATATCTGTAAAAAAAAAAACATAATTATTCTGTCATACGAATTTGTTCAGTATTCATTTTATTTAATGCTTTAATTAATCCCACACAATGAATTTGAATTGAAATAAGTTTAACGGATAGAAGAAACGATTAAAGGTTTATTCGCTGCTAGTAAGAGTAGGTACATGCACCCGGTGCATCAATGGCGATCATCGCTGGCCCGGAATGAAGTCGGCCTTGGCATTCCCGCACAGATAATACTGTAGACTAATCGAAGAAGAAACCAACGTATAGGTACGTTGCTCCCCTTCTTTCCAACGAGCTAGCCTCATTTTCTTTTTTATCCACTGAGATCTCAGCTCACCCTGATGTTGCTGCTGCTACGTTCTACACCTATCGTTTTATGTAAGTACAAGAAGATGATGAAGAAGATGATGAAGAAGAAGATGAAGAAGAAGAAGAAGAAGAAAAAGGAGAAGGAGAAGGAAGCAAAAAATTAAGGCAAAATATCTACGAAATATTATAAGGATCAAACTCGAATCTAAAACGATTCCTTGAAACATTCAACGACGAGAAGAGTAAAAGACTACTACTAGCGGTGGCGTGCGACTATGTTTGGCATTCGTAAACGTTGTAGTTTTTTCTAAACTTTGATTACTTCACGTTGGTTAAAGTTTTCTTGCGAACAGCTATACGACGACGAATACGACGACGACGACAACGAGAGATGAGGATGTGAAAGACATAGGAGAAAAAAAGTAACATCCTCATTCGCGAACGAGTCTCTCAAACTCGCGAGAAGAGAAACACGAATACACACGCCAGTGCCGTGAGCAAGGAAGGAGGATCTTGTCATTTATGACAGGAATTTCGCTCGACGACCTCCGGCTTTAACACTGTACGCGTTCGAAGAATGCCAACAAGCACGAGGAATATCTGTTATTTTTATCGACGATCAAATTACTATAAGCTCTCTCTCGTGGTAAAACCATTTCAAATCCAACTAACTCTTCAAAACCATTCCTATCATTTTTTTTTCTCTCCCACTAATTTAATGTAATTTTCTACAATTCGAAATTACATTTACTATTATCGGTTAGGTCAAAAAGTGTTAATTCCTATTAAACATGTAAACGTTTGTATGTTATATTTCATCAACAACCAAAAAATATCTTTGAGATCAATAAATGTGAAAAGATTCAAACGTTCTTTTTTTTTAATATTTTCATTTTATTAAAACATTAAATAAAAATTGGATTTTTGAAAATATATATATATGTTATTCGACAACCATACATTATATACACTGTTCATCGTGAAAACGTAATAATCGATGGTTCTTCCGCAATTCCTTATGATAATAATCGTAATAAATAAAAAATTATTGCCACTTTTAAAGATTCTCCAAAGTTTATTAAAAAATATATCAAACCGTGATAAGTAAGTAAAGTCCGTGTTGGAATGCAAATGTACGCAGAGCAAAAGTTTCCTTAACATATTCATCCAACAGTGGCGGACAATAATTTTCGTTCTTTGTAATAAGGCAGATGGGCCCATCAAAATTTCGTCATAATTTCTTGGGAGAAACTTGAAAGAGCTTCCTTGAATCATAACGCGCCGTTATCTGCATAACCGATTGCACAAGATGTCCTTATCTTTCAAATCTTCTTCTTTCTCTCTCTATCTCTCGTTCTCTCTGAATTCTTCCCAAAAGAAACAAGAAGGCAAGACGATTTATTAACGTATGCACGACCAAATTCCAACAATGTATGACTTATTATTCGTTAAAAAAATATAACTGTGAAATCAATGATTAAACGATAAGATGATAAACAAAATTTCATAATTTATATCTCGCGATTTTTAAGATTTTATTTAATTTAATCTTATTAATGTACTTATAGTCATTTATATCGCAGTATGACTATAATAATGCTAAATAATTAAAATTTATCCAAATGAAAAAAGGACATTTTCAACGAGAGAAAAGATCACATTACTTTTCTGAAATTCATCAAATTATTACCAAAAGGGTTAAATTATTCATATTAATAAAATTAGCAATCTTCTAATGTTACGACTTAATTTAGACGCTTTTAACTTGAGATAAATGACATTAGAAAAACAAAGATCCCAAGAGAATATCAGCTGACGTTGTTTTTCCAACCACATATCCGGCTGTTTCATGGCTTGGAAGATGCCCTAGTCACTGAATTACCGTCCTAATTGAATTTAGGAACGGTGCAGGGTCCACCCAAGCAGAGAATAGAACTTCCGTCTTGGAGTAGATCGCCTCGAAGGGAATCAGGTCAATAAAGGGAATATCTTCCTTCGAGATCTCACATAACCTATTGCTAAGCTTCTATCGCATTGAAATTCGAATCTGACAACTTGTATAATCGAATTAACGTTCATTGATCATGAATCATTCGTTTGACCTTAACCTTAACGTATTCGAACAAGTTTATACAAAAATAAACGTGTCATTTTTATCGTTCCTTAAAGTATGAGTATTTCTAAGAAAGAAAGATTTAGCAATTATGCATACCGAAAAACAGATATTATCGATAGAAAAAGATCGTTAAGGTCGTAAACATAGACTTAAGAAACTTCGTGATAAAACCTCGAGGGAATTAGCTTTCCTACCATATAAAAAAAGAACCCCTCTCGACTTTACGACCTATCAGCAAGATACGGATGACTGCTTAGACTAACTCGAGCAACGAACTCCGAACTAATTTTTATCAACGACAGGATAATATCAAAGAATGATACTTTTCTTTCCATTCACCTGACTTTCTTTTACCAGGTGTCTCACGGTATTACTCATTCCATCCAGTAGTGTTTAACATTGTTAATATATTAAAAAAATTTCACATAACATTAATTAACTAAATTTAAATCATAATTTAAATCATTAACTAGAATTTGTTGAAAAAAGAGCAAGGTGTATTACAATAAATAATTTAATATGTGCATAATATTATACGAGATATAACAGGAAGTGAAATTTCTCCCGGAAATACAGAAATTATTGCAAATGGCAAAGTCCTCTTCTTCTCGACGACGCACGACGTCTCTAAGAAGAAGGTACGTAGCACCAAAGGGTAGTTCATGCCGGAGGGAGGTCAAAGAACGCGAATCGCAAACTCATGCGATCGGGGCGATGCTTCTCTCTTGGAGCACAAGTATAAGAGAGAGAGAGAGAGAGAGAGAGAGATTGAAAGAGAAAGAGAAAAACAGAAGATCTAGTAAGAGAGTAAGAAGGACGAAAGACGGCGGGTATTCGCCAGCTGCCGTTGAACGTGTTCAATGCCGCAGTTGGAGCAAGAAAGCGGTCGAAGAGAGAAGAGGTCGGTCGGTCGATCGGTCTGCTGGGTTTCGCGCCTTGGTGGGGGAGGAGTGGGGTTGGAGGAGAAGGAAAAAGAGGAAGAGAAGGAGAAGAAATAAGAGGAGAAGGGGAGAAGACTCGAACACAGTGTGGGCTGGCTGGTTCCTTCCTCGATGCCTGGCTTGCTTGCCTGCTTGCTTGCCTGCCTGCTTGCTTGCTTGCTTGCTTGCCTGCTTGCCTGCTTGCCTCCTCTTTCAGAGACTTCAGTTCTCTCTCTCTTCACGTACCGAGAAGGTATCGCTGTTAACCGCCGCTACGACCGGCTAGAAAGCCGATTTCCCTCTCTCTCTCTCTTTCCCATTCTCTCTGGTTAGTTTCCTTCTCTTCTCTCCTGAAATATCCTCTCGGCGTATTTCAAAGATAGCTCTCGTGAAAAAAAGAACGGTGAGCTCGATGCTTGGATAGAAATTCAGTTAACAGTGCGATCGAAGTTAGATCAATCCCTTTAAGTTTATTATAGTAGATATACATGTACGTGCATGAGATAAATGTGTGAATTAGATAAGTGTTATTGAAATATGATTTAAAAAAAAAACAATAAAAATAACATGATCAAACATTGCAAATGTTATTATACGATGAGGAAAAATGATCAAATTGTTATCGAAGATAGTTACTACGAATATGATACGTAGGTGAAGAAAAAAATCGTATCTACTTTTCGAATGAATATATATAATATTTATTTAATACAAATGAAAAACACGTGTGTATATATTAAAAAGGTGAATTATTTGGGAGGATCGAGAAGAAAGTATGACGCGTATTCGCGAGAAAAATACGACAGGGCATCGAGGATCGCATTACCGATCTCTACATCTGCACGTAGAGAGAAGGCCTTAAAGCGAAGAGGAAGGTGAATCAACTCGAACGGAAAAACGCGCTTCTCCTTCTGCATCCTGCGACGGGAAAAACGTGCTAGTGGGGGAAAAAGAGAAAAAGAAGATCTTTCTCTCTCTCTCGGTCTATCTATCTCTCACTCTCTTTGGTACGGATAAAGAGAGAAAGAGAGATAGAGTGCTCTCGAGAAAGAGCAGGAGCCAGAAGCGGTGGATCCGGCCGAGTTGACAGTCGAAAGGCGAGCCAACGGAGGCTGGAACTCGCGAGTGGAACTCGTTAACCGGTTTCCGCGGATCGGCATGCAGAGCGACACCTAGTATATTCTTCTACGTGAGCCCATCGAGCGTATCTCCCTTGATCCTTCCTTCTATCCTCTTTCTCTTTCTTTCTTCCTCTTATTCTCTCTCTCTCTCTCTCTCTCTCTTTCTCTCTTTTCTTTTTTCTTTCTTTCTTTCTCTCCCACTTTAACAGTCATTCGTACGAAGGGACCGGTATTTTGCCGATCATAGATTAATATCGTCACCTGCAAAACGATAATAATAATAGTATCGTTAGAAGGAATAGGAACTTATTCTGCCTCAATCTTTCTAAAGAACAGAACAGAACAGAACACGTTCTCGACAGTTCGAGAAACTATTTTTGAATTTTCCCAATTCTTGAGGGATAAAAGGAAAACAAGCACAGTAATCCGTAAGTTTCTGGATTTAGAGACGAATTTAACCTATTTCGAGAAGAAGTTAGTGAGAAAGAGAAACAGAGACGATTAGAGTGAATCGCACACATACATATATATATATTTATATATAAGTATATTTCGTTTCGAAGAAGTCAATTTTCAAGAAACACTTGAAACTTCAACTAAGTTCGAATTTCAAGAAAGAAGAATAAGAAGAATACGACGAGGACGGGAATATTCGAGGCCTTCGAGGGGAGAATTCCAGACAAATTCTCGAAGACGACTCCGTTCGGATGCTCAACTTATATCTCGGAGAGTTGAGAAGGCGCCGCGACAATTAAAGTGGAAAGTGTGCCTCGTCGTGTGCTAAGTGCTGGTAGATGCTACTACCATCCGAGTTGGTGGTGCTCGCTATGTAACACGATTTAGAAAGTGCCTTAAGGTGTGCCGTGAAACGTGTGTAAACTAGCTTCGCACGAAAACTAGTCGATTGGGAATATATACAAGAATTTAATGTGAGACCGTAAAAAAGGTTACTTTTTTTGTTCCTTTCTTATTTCTGTTATAGTTTTGCGGTTTTGTTTTTTTTTCGAATAACGTATAAAAAAGAATATTTCGGATGAAGTTGTAGTTGTGCCACGAAAAAAAAAAGAAAACAAGAAACGTAATTTTCGTTAAATCGTTAATGAAGAAGAAACGATAGCGTCAGTGTGGAATCGACGAGGAGGTGGTCGGCGGTATCGTCGAAAGGATCGTAAAGGATCGGAGGAGAAAGGGCTGCGAGTACGAGTCTCGAGTTCGAAGACGAAGCGGTGCAACAACGGTCGTCGTGGCATGAAGAGGTTCGTACGCGGACGTAAAATCCTGGCCGCATTCTCCGCGATTATGGGACGCCTTGGAAAGGGCTCGCAAAACGCAACACGGCCCATCTTCAGGGTACATTATCGTAAACTCGTTGACGAGTACTCGCAGCAACAGGAGCAACTCAAGTTTATGCCAGCACTACCAGATTACATGTCCTATTGTTGCTGTCGATGCGGTCATACGCAAAAACTCAAAGTAAGTTCGTTTTACTTAGGAAAGATGAACGATTACGAGTCAATCACGAATCGAAGGCGAGTAACGGTAATCGATAAATTTACGGTTAGTTCGTGTCCATAGGAATTTATTACTGCTTTCGACAGACTCGTTGAAATCATTTTTTTTTTTACGATGACAAGCACCGACAACCTATGTTAAGAGAATACTTCTATATTGTATAATACAAATTTACGTAGGATATAACCAACATTAGATCGTTTTATAATAATGAGAAATCGCTTCGTAACTTTCAAACGGTACGATCTTTACGAAGGTATAATACGACTAGGAAGTCGAAGAAAATTGTGATCGATTAGAAGAAATAGATTAACCATGCGAATGATTATCTAAAATCTCGTAAGATTAAAACTACGTAGGTAAGATGGAAAATTGAATCGTTGCTTTCTAACATTTACGTAACAGTATAATGTACATATACACGAATAATACATACACATATATATCTATGATAATATCGAATATCGTTATAGCCGTCGTCGATGTTATGCGAACTTTCACGTTGGCTTATTTAGCTGTCTAAAATATCTAAACGATGTCGAGGTCTAAAACGCCCACTTGAAATACGATTAAAGCACGTAAGCGAACATGACTCTCTTCCTTTTTTTCTTATTGGAGGACAAGAGAGGAACCGTTAGTGGATGAGAATAAAACAAAAAGGGCAAATAAAAAAAGGGGTTACTCGAATGGCCGAATCTTCTTCTTCTTCTTTTTTTCTTCTTCTTGAAAGAGAAAAGAAAACATGAAATATATTTAAATAGTATACATATATACGAAGTTACAAACACCATACGATACAAGTTAACTTTCACGCGAGCATGCGATAAGTTGCGTCATTAAAAACGATCCCGAAGTGCCGTTCATGGCATCTGCTGTTTTATCTTCGATCTATTTGCCTCCGAACGAACTCTAACCGCTAATCCAAAGACGAATACTATTACTACTATTACTACTACTACTACTACTACTGTTGCTACGACTATGACGACGACCTGCAAATCAGCAAGCACAGTATGTACCTCTCACGGTATTAGCGAATCGCGATTAGCTCGGGGTACCGCAATATGACCTCGAGTGTGTCGATGCTTAAAGTAAAGAAGACCGTCCATCGAAAATGCTTCTTCTTTAAAGTCTTCGGAAAATAAGTGTAATTTTTATTGCTTGGCAATGACTATACAAGTTGCATCTTAACCGTTAAATTTCATGTATCGAGAGATAAATATATAGTAATAGATCAAACAACAAATATTACGTGCATGTTCGTAAAAAAAGAAAAAAGGAAAAATAATATTTTAATTAATTCATTCAACATTTAAATTTATTCTACGAACAAACAAACAAATGATTAATAAGTACGAATATTTTATTGATCTAACGGAATAACCAAATTTCAAAGATTAATTCGAAATTTATCTGAGAACTGATTTATATCTTTCGATGAAACCAGATAAAAATGAAACTGATCGAAAATTTCGTAATAATTGCAATGCTCACTTCGATCGTTCAAAATGCACGCAAAAGACTAAAGGCTAACCTTAGTAATACTATGATCTAAGAAAGAGAGTAAGAGAGAAGTAAAGAATGTAAGAGGGGGAAGGGGGAGAAAGAGATAAGTCGTGGGATCGGACGAACACATTCCTCAAGCCCCTATAGCTACTCGTGCCATGGGAGATCGCTTGCTTGTTCTTCTTCTTGCCCCTTTACCGATAGACAACCACCATGGTGCTGCTATTTTAACAACGGCCTGTCTCTTTTATGATCTTTTACCGTATCATTTGAGCAGTCTTTCACTGTCGCGTTAAAACACATAGAAAGTGAATAAAAAAAATTCATCAACTGCGTGACACGATGACGACAACATTTTTATTAATGTTAACTCATAATTATGTTAACGCAAACGAGGATTGAAACAGTTATTTTCAAAAATATAAAAAAAAGTACTTTTATTCGTATTTTCAATATAATTAAAAAAGAATTCGCGTAGCCTTGATCCGCGATAGAAATAGAATTCGTATTATCATGTGAAAAATAATCAATTAATTCACATATAGAATGAGTGTTCCTAAAAATCGTACACCGTTAGATTTACTAAATTTTTATTTTAAAAGGCTATTGATATAGTGTGTTTACTTAGAAACATTGAAACAAATGTATTTTAGTTTAAATAATCCCAAATAATTATTAAAGTACAGTACAGTGTTCAATTTACCTTAATTAATTAATAATTAATCGATGAAAATGTCTATTGGTGATTAAAAGTACGAAATATATTTTCGGAGTACCGTCCTCCTCGAAATTCACCTTCAAACTAGCACGTTGTCCTCTATCAAAAATCTTTTATTTAATGTTGTCTATATGATTTTCCGAACGTTGCGCATGTGTGCAACTATGTGAAGTTCAAAACTTTTTAAACCATCCACGTATTTATAGATAAATTTGTATAAAACTTTTTACAGTCATTCTGTACACTAAAAACTTGAGTCGTATCCATGCTATAAAAATATATTCCTTGTATACACACGAATACATCAGCTGACATTTATCTCTTTTCAAAGATATTGTCCAAATGAACGAACAACTTGTTCTGATAACTGTGATCCAACTGTACACAATTTCATGGATGAATTATCACGATGAGGGAAGTCGTAATCGTTGAAACATCCTGTAGATACATAGAATGCCTTGCTTTGACTGCTGTATCTTACAAAGATTACACACGGTTATCGCTTTATCACACAAAGGAAACACTCGGTGGTCCTCTATCGAAAACTCGATCCAAAGTGAGCACTCTTAAAATTAAAGAAGCAAGCTGAATAACGTAAGATTTTTATTCGAGTAAAAGGAAGAAGTTTTCATCGCGTTGAATGGGATACAACTTACAAGATTCAATATTATTATGGTATTCAATTGAAGAGTACGTTTATCCCTGTAACATTTGCAATATCAATATCTTACTTTTCTTTTTTTATATTTTTCTTTTTTCTTCTTTTCAAATGTTCCCTCGCATTGAGTATAATTTAGAAAAACCCACTCGTCGTAGGAAGATTAAAAGGTTAACCGAGAAAATGGGAGAACGTTAATCGTCGACACTTGAAACACGACCTTACTCAAAAAGCACGTTAGGTGGAAAAGACAGCAAAGAGTTTAAAGAGCATCGTTTCAGAGAAGAGTCTCCAGGAAAAGGAGCTTACCACCGAATATATCTATCTATTTATATCTTTTTCTCTCACTCTCTCTTTATCTATTTTTTTCTTTCTCTTTCTTTTTCTCTTCATTTCCTTTTATTCGCAGTTTCACATCGTATTACTCTGGAGAATCAGCCGGAAACATAATTTTCTGTCGTTTTCCTTATCTTCGTGCTTTTAATTGTTCACCATTTCGTAGAAAGTAGTAAAGGAAACTTTAATTCGTCGGTTTATCCGAACGATCACAGATCGTTAGATTTGACCGAAGATAAAGACAAAACGATCGAGACACGGTACGGTACAGAGAATTTCAACAAATTTACATAATTAAATTGCCTAGCTCATTGTTATTTCCATGGCAATAAATTTATTTAATCGAACAAACCAAAAAAAAAAAGAGATTATACAGAAAGATGGTAGATATCGAATTTATCGAATACATTCATATATGATATAAAAGAAAATAAAGAAAAGTAATGCTCGTTACGAGTATCCTTTTTGCTTATGCTAAATGTAACTACGAGGTTCTTCTAAATCCAATCTGAATCTAAACTTACACAATATCTATGATTCGACGAAATGTTAGTAGGTCTGTAACAGGTCATTATTTTATTATACAATCAAAGGAGATTGATAAAAGAAAGAAATTCTCATTGCATTTTCATTCACACCCATAATCACGATGCCCTTAACGGAGTAACGTTCAACTTCTAAGATTTTCAAATTGCCTAACCATCTTCTTTTTCTTCTTTTTCTTTTTCTTAAAAAACAATCTATCGACGAAGGATACTCGGACATTCTCCTCGTAAACTATAAAAAGGAAAGGCAAAAAATTTCATTTTCATCGACGTGACAAAATGAGCAACATTTATCTAACAATTACGATTTACGTAATACAAATAATGAAGAATATCGTTGACATTTAAGCTGAACAAATGTTTACCCTCGATCATGTGGATTGGAATTCTTCGACTACGCATTTTTAATGTCAATTCCCCAAGACTTTTTTTTTCTTTTTTCATGATATAATCCAAAAACGGTGAACGAATAACGTAATTCAGGTAGCACTATGTCAAATAAATGGGGAAAAAAAAGAACTAAACAACGCTTACGATTGTGTTCTCATGGATCGAGAAGGATAATGCGCTCGTTTCGGTCCAACGCATAAATAACTTAACGACGCTTCAATAAAGTACTCCAAGGTTGTCTTTGAAAAGGGTACCCCAGCGGCCCTGAAAAGATTCGTTCGTTCGAAACGAAAGGTGGTAGTGGGTACCGTGCTCGACGGTGCCCGTACAATTCCTAAAATCCAGCGAGACAACATTCCGGACGCCCTCGCCTAGCGGCATCTGTCTGCTGTACAAGAGAAAAGCCACAGACGTTTAACGAGAAAGAGAGAAAGAGAAAAAGAAAAAGAGTAGAGTTCTATGTGCATGCGTCTGTTCACAATACACACTCTAAATTTTATCATGGCACCTCGACGGGAGTTCTTCCTCCTTAAAAATGTGGATCTCACTCGGTTTTTCGCGACTCGAAAATTCCCCAAAAAAGTCCCTAGAAACTTGACGTACCCCCTTGGGGACTCGACAATAGCACGTACGAACGTGAGTTCATTTTACTCTACTCGTACGCTCGAAGACGCTTCTTCTAAGTCCTCGGAGAAAAGCCAAGAGAAAGAGAGAGAGAGAGAAACAGACAAACCAAGAGGAAAGAGTATGAAACATGGAAAAAGAGGCAGGGGGAAAGTGAAGGAATGAGGAGAGGGGAAGGTTTGGT